AGATGAGTGGAGTGAGTCAGGCTGAGTGGAGCTGAGTCGGGCTGAGTCAGAGTGAGTTGGGATGAGTAGGATAGGTTTTATGTGGAGTTAGGGCTGTGAGAGGGAGGCGGTTTCGGCAAGCAGAGAGGAGTCGTGGATGGGGAGTCGGGTTGCACTGGTAAAGAAGATGGTTTCTCCCTCTCTCTCTCTCTCTCTCTCTCACGGCTTGAGATCGGCACAGCACAGGCGGAGGGCAAGGAGGAGAGGCCGACCAGTAAGGCTCGGCTAGGAGTGGCTTCAGACGGAACGAACTGAAGGGAGGCGGAGGTCGGGCTGTTGGAACGGAGGCAGTGAGGTGGAGTTACGGGAGGCGTCGGGTTTGCTGTGTGGAGCCGGACAGAAGGAGAGGTATCGGGAGTGAGGGGGTTCGGTCGTGGAGAGTGGAACGAGAGCAAGCGAGAGTAGTGAGGGCTTCAGTCGTCTATTTAACGACTCAATTCAGTGCCTCTTCGCACGCGAGATACGACACTTCGGCGCCGTTTGCAGAGGGAGCAGGATATGGAGCGGGATTTCTGCCGGATATGAGGGATGGGCAGCCGACGATTCGAGCGGGATTTCCTGCAGAGAATCGGGATGAGCGGCTACAGGTAATCATTTTAGCGAATTTTTTTTTATTTTGATTTGTCTGTCTTTTTGACTTCACCGTGGAGGTCAACAATGACAGCACATAGTTTATTTCAGCCCACTCTGTACTGAGTGTTATCCTACTCTGTACCGAGTGATATCCTACTCTGTACCGAGTGTTATCTTATTCTGTACAGAGTGTTATTTACTGCTTTACTTCATAGCCTACTCTGTACCGAGTGTTATCCTACTCTGTACCGAGTGTTATTTACTGCTTTACCTCATTCTGCTTATATATACTTGTAACCTGTTCAATTATAATGATACATGCGCTTTATCCTTCTTTGTTTTTCTGCTTTGTTTTCCTTTTTTTCTCTCTTGGCTGTGAATATCTCACAACTCATACATGACCAAACTTGAATTTAAACTCTATAAGCAGCTGTTTGATGTGCTGTACATGGCATACCGTACAAGGTAAACTCGTACAAAAGTTTATCGTATACTTTGCATAAACATTAGTAATAGAGATGAACTATGAAGCAAAGTAATTTTACAAACTTCACTTCACGACAATTACAGATTAATTAGTAATTACTTCGCTGGTAATTACATTATATCAAATTTTCATCTAACCAAGCTGCCCCTATATAAAAACATAAACATGAATAACGTAAGGAAACGTACAAAACTAACAGAACCATAACCACATTCAATCAGAATATTAACCTACCTGATTAATGGAACTAACATACATTTTATGCATGCTGGTAACTTAAGCTGAGACAAAAGTTTTATTATGAACCGTAATTGTGAGTTGAAGCATAAAAGGTTGATCATGCTAACTTAAGTTGAGAGATAAAAGTTTTATCATGCAAGTAACTGGAGTGTAAACAATGCATGCAACTAGATTGTGAGTTTAATCAAAGGGGAAATTAATCTAAGGTCCTCTGATTGATCAATATTTATTTTTTAGTCATTGAATTTCCTGTAGTTTTTCAGATAAATTAAATTTTACTGTTTTAAAAAAAATTTAATATCAAATGCATCTTTATTTTCCACCTCATAGAAGTGCCCTGAGATCTACCCACAATCCACCCACTGCGTCTCTCTCTCTCTAATTATCGACTTAAGACAACTGGTCATAGCTTCCTTATAAATGATTATTATTTTATGTGTGGTAATAATAAGATATAATTTTTTAATAAGCAGATGACGTTAGACGATAAAAAAAAGATTTTAGGAAATCAACAGACTTCTATTAATAACCAGTTCTAACTTTTTGTTAATCATATGCTAACAGAAAATAACCCCATTGAATGAAAGAAAAAAGATATGATAGGACTACAACAACAAAAACAACATCAAGCCTTAATTCCAATACGTAGGCTCAAGATATGATAGGACTAGAAAATAAAATTTTCTTTATGAAAAGGACTAATAAGTATTATTTCAAAATAACATGACCAACAAATAAATATAGTTAAACTCTAGAATCTTAAGGAAATTCATCCTTAATAAAAAAAATACTACCATGTGTTTAGTTTTACTGGGTTTATAAATTTCCCTATTTTTTTTTTTCCCATTTCTCGTGAAGTTTGAATATCAATTCCGCCTAAAGTCTGGCAATGTTCTTTTTTTCGTTATTTTTTCTTGCAGCTCTTGAAGGTGTGACTTGTGAGTTGTAGTTCAAGGAAAATACAAGAAAACTGTAGAAAGTAGTGTATATACCCTCCAAACCCGGCTCTCATGTCCATAACATTACGAATGTTCATTTTCTTCCAGTGGAAAATACGGATATAGCCTTCAACGATATCATTCCAGAATCTTGTTTCTGCCCTAAAAAGTTCATTTTTTGCAATATAAGCATCCATCTCTACACCTTGAAGTCTCAATGGTGGCTCATGCAAGCGAGCAGGCCATGCTGTAATATTGGCTCCAGAGGCATTCTCAAGGAGTTGGCTGATACATGCTTTGAGATTAACATACCTGCAAAAAAAAAGACCCGAAAGGAAATTCATTAGTCAGTAAAAAAAAGTTAATATTTCAATAGAAAAACAAAAGAAAGATGTACAACTAATGAAATTTCTCTTTGTAAATCTCATATATATGTGTGTGTGTGAGAGAGAGAGAGAGAGAGAGACCAATAACTAGATCATTAAGGGTACAAATATGGGTAAGGAGGCCTTTCAGAACGGGTTTGGTTCTCATCGTTACACGTTGCATCCTCAAAAACTCAACAACCTTGAATCTCTAAAAAGTTGGGGGTTGGTTATAGGTTCCAGAATACGGTTAGTCGAGAATTGAAATAATATTCATATTTTAAATGAATAAATTGTTATATCTGACTGGATTGGACCGACTCAGCCGAACTAGTTCAGTTAAATTTGCTAAAGCCGGCAATCGAGCAGGGTTGAGGCAAGCGAGGCTATTTGAAGCGAAGCATTGCGATCGAAACCGCAGGCACGAGCACGTGCAAGCATAGATGGGTGCGACTCCTCACGTGAGATGAATCGAGTTCGCTCAATTCAGTGGAGTCCACCGTAGGGAAGGAGTTGCATGTGAGAGAGGATTTTGTTATGTGTGTTGCTTGCATTCAGTGAAGTAGAAGATAAAAAGGGTTTTCATGCGAAGCAAGGTATTGTGCAGTGAGTTAGTGGCTTTAATTTACTAAAAAGAAGATTTTCATCTGGTGCTATTCGACAAATACTAGAGTAAAAATTATTTCAATTCATATATCAATACGCAAAGAGGCGAACTATTCAATTCTGAGTAGTATAGTGCACTACCTGTCTACTGAATAGAAGAAGAGTTCGCTCATCGAGATATAGTATCGATGTGTGAAGGTAAGTAAAATTTTAGTATTAAAAGAGAATTATGAGTAAAAAAAATTATTTGATTAACTTATACAATGGTGTTCGACAGTGAAGAAGAAGAAGAAGAAGACAGGTTGACGAGATCCCGAGTAATAAAGAAGAGGAATAATTGGAGGCAAGCAATGCAATTTGCATATATATCATTTTACGGAATATAATAAGCAATGCAAATGCGACTTAATTAATTTGTTCATTCTATGTTGTCGTTAGCAATGTTCAAATGTATTCAATGTTACTTTGGCAGTATTCCACATCTCCAATGTTATTTGATGTACTTTAATACCTTAATGTGGAGCCTAGATAAGGGTTAATTGTGTTATTGTAAATTTAATGTAAATTTTATTCTAAATTATATGTGTAAAGTGACAAATATACATCCTTAATAGTTACATTGTGCCCTAAGAAAAGCTAATTAAAAGCTTAAATAACTCTGAAGAGGAATTTCGACATTCCAAAAGGAAAAAAGGTGGATAACTTTATTTTATTTTATAGTATGTACAGTTTAATCATTGGTTCAATGCATTGACTGACATTATAACTTGCATGTATACTTGATTAAATTTTAAAGGGACATTTTTATATAAAAATGAGAAAAATCACATAACATGTGTTGTAGTATATATAAATGTGATCATTGCATATTTAGTTTGATATATATGTAAATGAAAATGAAATGAAAAAAAAAAAAAAAATTACAACATAAAAAAAAAAAAAAAAAAAAAATTACAACATGAAATGAAAACTATTGAAAAGGAAAAGATATATAATTACAAATACAGGAGTTCACCCCTTTATAATACTGACTGATAATGCAACATACCCGTGCACCATGAACAAAAAAGGTTGGAAATGAAAAAAAAAATGATTGTACCTACATTGGTACAAAATTTAGATGATGCTCCTGGAATAAATAAATTGTTAAAAGATTAAAATTGAAAAATAGAAATTATAAAGAATATTATATAAATCAAGGTTTGACAGGACTCGTATTATATTTACTCATATATATATATTAAAAATTTTGATGACATCGTATGAATATATATACGCATGTTTTATTATCTTTATTATACAATAAAATTGTAACTAACACAGAGTTTGTTATTAAAAAGTCAACCTCTTAAATCGAACATTTCAGGTAAATCTGCAATTAATAAATGGCTGATCGAGATAATTGTGTGTACAAAAAAAAGATCAACTGAAAATATGTAAGAACTATTTTATTTATGTATTTGAACTGCAAATTGTTCTTTTAGTGGCTCTTTCGTTAAAGGTTTGTTGTTTATTTTTAATTTGGACATTTACTTAGTGTTAAAAGAATTTGTGCAATTCATCTGACCGTCTGTTCCCGCTTCGCTAACTCGGAACTCCGGGCCAAGTCATAACATACACATACTCATAAATGGATGCAAGTAAATGGCTGAAAAAAACTTAGTGAATTCGTCATTTTCTAGAATTCCTAAACATTTACATTCATTACTATGACTTTTTGGTACATTGTGATCTACTTCTTATCAGCCATAACTCATTTTTTTGGTTAATTAGTTTGTATTTTTTTAGTCCTAATTTAAAATTTAAAACTGATCATGTGACTATTTGTAATATCAAATATAACCTCACCTTTTTTCGCATCTCCCGCATCACCCCTGCTAGACACCGTTCATTTATGTGATCATTCCCTAGAAGCATCTGATTACTACTTCCTTTAATATGATAATTGCTTCTTCTTTTTTACTTGGAACTAAGCATATGCAATATTTTAATAACCATATGCAATTATAAAATAACCAGATTGAGAGAATTAAGGATGCATTGAAATTAAATTATCTAGCATCTTAGTCACTGAATGCTACAAAAAAATGATCAATGAGGGAGGGAATGATAGAGAAAATTCCTCAAAGGCATTTTGGGGATATCAAATTCCACCCTTGAAAAGGAAACTTGGATGGGAAATTGAGAAGAGTAATAAATACCTTCTCTATGAAATTGACAAATAGCCATTACTTGAAAAAGCATAGGATAAGAAAATAATTGACTATCAACTTAAAACAAGGTTAATGAATTATGCCTTAATCTTTAGGTTGTCATAAATTTTACTTCGTATATTATACAACAACAACAACATCAAGCCTTTGTCCCACTACGTGGGGTCGGCTACATGAATCCTTTTTTGCCATTGTATCTGGTTAAAAGTCAAATTCTCATTTAAATCTAATAAAGAAAGAACATTTCTAATATTTTCTAACCAAGTCTTTTTAGGTCTACCTCTACCTTTCTTAATATAAGTCAAATCTAATACCTCAACTTTCCTAATTGGGTCATCAGAAGGCCTCCGTTTAATGTGACCAAACCATCTAAGGTGACTCTCTCTAATCATATCTTCCACGGGAGCTACTCCAACCTTTTCACGTATATGCTCATTTCGTATCCTATCTCTAAGGGTCAAGTCACTCATCCACCTAAGCATCCTCATCTCTGCAACACTTAACTTAGTATTATGCTTCTCTTTTAATGGCCAACATTCAGCACCATAAAGCATTGCAGGTCTCACCACCATCTTATAGAATTTTCCCTTAAGTTTGAGGGGGACTTTTCTATCGCACAAGAACTTTGAATATAAGCATTATTAACTCTTTTCTTTTCAAGAATTCTCCATAGCACTTCTTTTGGAACTTTATCATATGCTTTCTCTAAATCAATAAATATCATATGAAGATCATCCTTATTCTCTCTATATTTCTCCATCAAACCTCTCAATAAATGTATGGCTTCCATAGTAGACCTACCCGGCATAAATCCAAATTGATTTTGAGAAACATTAGTATCGCGTCGCAACCTACGCTCCATAACTCGCTCCCATAGTTTTAAAGTATGACACATTAACTTAATTCCTCTATAATTCGCACACTCTTGTGCATCACCTTTATTTTTAAAAATAGGAATTAACACACTGATTCTCCACTGATCTGGCATTTTTTTAGTCTTCAAAATAGTATTAAAAAGTTTAGTAAGCCAAGAAATTACATCATCTCCTAAGCATTTCCACATCTCTATTGGAATATCATCAGGTCCAACAGCTTTTCCACACTTCATTTTCTTTAAAACCTCTCTAACTTCGGTTTTACTTATACGCCGATAAAAACAAAAATCTGTATTATCATTTAAGGTGATAAAGTCACTAAAGTCAATCGTATTTTCACATTCTTTATTAAAAAGTTTAGCAAAATATCTCATCCACCTTTGTTGAATATCATATTCTAAGAAAAGTATTTTTTTTATTTTCATCCTTAATACACTTATACATTTGAACTAAATCCTTACTACTCCTATCTCTTTGTTTGGCTAACTTATACATATATATTTCTCCCTCCTTAGTATATAATATATTATATAAATCATTAAAAGCTAAGCTCTTTGCATCGCAAATAGCTTTCTTAGATTCCTTACGAGCTCTTTATAGCTTTCTCAATTATCAGAATTTTTACATCTAAATCAATTTTTATAACAAATCTTCTTATTTTTTTATTTTTTCTTGCACATTTGGATTTCACCACTAACTATTTTTATTATTAAGAGCTTTTCCCTTCCAAACTCCAAGCACATCTTTTGTAATATTCTTAATATCACAAGTCACTTTTTCCCACATAATATTAACATCCTCATGCACAGAATCTTATGATCTAAAATTACTCTCAAAAATAATTTTGTTAATATTCTTTAAATGCCCCATCTAATCCTAAAAAATCATTTTACTTTATTTTTTATTATTTGGCCCTTTATCTGAAAGTCCAAAACTAATAATCGATATTAGGTACATAAATTTTCACTAGGAATAACTTTACAATCTATGCAATCTAAACGATCTAATTTTCTTATAAGAAAATAATCAATCTGCGTTTTACTATATCCATTTTTATAAGTGATAAGATGCTCATCTCTTTTGTCGAAATCATAAGCTAAAGAAAAATCTAATATAGTCTTACCACCTTCATTTGTCGTTCCAAACCCATGGCCACCATGGATGCTTTTAAAATCATATACCTCTCTACTAACATGTCCATTAAAATCTCCTCCAATAAAAACTTTTTCTTCAAGAAGTATATTTTGTATTAATTCTTCTAAGTCATTCCAAAATTTTAATTTTGAACTCATATCCAAACCTACTTGAGAAGCATAAGCACTTATAATATTAACAATCTTAGCATCAACAACAATTTTTAAAGCTATAATTCTATCTCCAATTCTGCTAATTTTTATAACATTATCCTTCAAACTCTTATCTATAATCACACCTATATCATTTCTAGTACAACTCCTACCCGAATATCATAGTTTATATCTTAAACTATTAATCTCTTTAGCTTTCTCTCCAACCCATTTAGTTTTCTGAATGCACAAAATATTTATTTTCCTATGAATCATAATATCTATTAATTTCATTAATTTTCCTGTAAGGGAGCCTATATTCTAAGTTCTGATCCTAATTTTAGTTTCATGGACTAGTTTCTTTGCCCACATCCGTCCTTGATGTGGGAACAATTGCCTATTTAACACTGCACCCGAGCACCGGTGCAGTGGCCCTTGCACATTTGTCACTGTATTCAGGCCATACAGTGCGTCGCTTCCAGGGGACGCCCTAGCATTAACACAATTTTTTAAAAGATTCATGTCATTATTATTCGACAAGTTTTACGCTGGTTATCGACTACCTAACGCAACCCTCCACTTTTCTCATCCAGGACTTTGGACCTACCAACGGCAGTGTTTTACTTCGTATATTATGAAATTAATAAATTGGGAAGGGTAAGGTGGACTGCTCCATACCCAAATCCATGAAATGAATCCTAACAAAATATAGTTTGACTCACTACTTTGGTTATTGGTATCCAAAGCAATCGCAAATAGATTTCAAACCGGTAGCAGGAAGAAGACACGAGCATTCTTGGATTTGGACAACCAAACGCATTCCGAGTTTCACTCCCACAGATCTTGCTCGTGAAGTTATGTTAAGATATCATATATCATCAAAAACCACTGTAAATATCTTTCAAAAACACTATTAACTAACAAAGTATTAGAAAATATTCTGTTGTAATTTTTTATCATCAGTTTCTGTCATGTATATCAATAAAGAACAGTTGTAAATTATTATGCAAAAGAAAAAAAAAAGTAATCAAGATACCAGACACTATTTGAATCATCTTCTGGACCACAAAGTGGAGGTTGGACTTCAGGACTGCGATTAAGATAGCATGTGTTGTTCAAAGGCTTCCTCCATATAGCAAGATACCCCTTTTTCTTCACCAGCTCCCAACAAATACGAGAAGTAAGGTTCTCCATCTCTAGAATAAATTCACAAAAGGAAGATATTTAGTGACGTGCAAGAGAATCACGACAGTAGTTTCATTTAGGAAATCATCATAAAGATGAATAACACTGCATTTTAAACCTAAAGAATGCCAACCATACTAGTTATCAAAGGAAGCACATCAAAACAACTAATGTGATCAATTTAAAATGAGGCTGAAAAATGATGAACATTTAAACTCTCAATCTTAAGTGGCACCACCAAATATTTGGCCTATAGTCAAAATACCGCAATAATTTAAAAGTAACCTTCCTACCATGAAAGGTGTTGAAATTATCCTAAATGTAAAGCCAACATCTTTCCATCTACAACAACCTAACAATCCTTGCATAAAAGCTTTTCATCTACAACAATCCAACACAATGTTGACAATAGGTTTCCATCTACAGCTATCCAATTATCCTTGGACAGTTGCATTTTATTTCAAATCTATAGTTAATTTTGGATTCAATAATTAAATATTTATTTTCAGATATGTTTATTTCTATGATTGTTGGTTCTCTACCTACTTATGTATAGTTCTCATCTTGCTTTTTCACACAGAAAAAGAGAATAAAAATTAATCATACAATCTCCCATTCTCTGCTCGTCTTTCTCATTCTAATTTTCAAGAAGATGCGACGCCATTGGATGCATAAGAATGATATAGGATGTTCTAGGAAGGAAAAAGTTGCAAATTCATCATTGTCCTCCTCGTCATTATTGTTAACCAAAAAATTAAGAAACTGCAAAATAAATGAACATATAGTCTTACCAAAATAACATGAAAGAAAACCATGGGTTGTAGGTTATACATTGATAAATCATAACTTATGGACCAAGTCTTCCTGATTTCAATTTTTCTAGTACAAATGGAGATGGTAGGAAAGAATTGATAAAAAAATTATCAAGTTCCCCCAATCTTCGCGCAGAGAATGAACAGATCTATTATTTTAATTATATACATAAATGTAAATGGCCCTGGAATCAGAAGTAATAGGTGGTAAAAGTATAGGTAGTAATAGCAACTATGATTGGTTCACACTATCTAAAGTACTCACTCTATAAGAAAAAGGTAGATAGCAAGTAGGAAGAAGGTCATATAAATGTTCGAATGGTACGAAAGCACATGGCAGGTTATATTTTAGTAAGATAGGGTTTCTGATAACTATCAGTAGATGCTTCCAGATTCACCAAATGATGCATATGAACTTTGCGTTGTCTAACCAAGACAAGATGAAAAAATTCAATGCTTGAATGGGTATTAAATGAAGTCCTTACTTCCAATAGAAATACAAATACAAATGACCAAATTCCAAAAGCACCAAACTGCAAGTTCCAATTAGACTACATGGTAATTATCTCTATGACTGAAACTACAAGAGATTGAAGCTGTTCTAGCTAAATCATAATTCAAAAATAAGATACCTTTCCATGTTTCTTGCTGAGCTTCTTCATGTTTATAAACAGGTTGTGCTGCCCATGCAAAGTATCCTCCAGCTCTAAGCATTCGGTTCGCTTCAAGAAGCAAAATTCCATCTACAGAAAAGGAAATATCAACTGAATACGAAACCTTTCAATAGAACCGAGGCTTCATTCGGGATGAATATCCACACAGATACAGCAGCACTCGTTGCTGCACCGTGGGAGGCCATTTTGGAAGATGAGGACATGTGGCAGCCTTGCCCACTGATTCAAGTGCAAGTGTGCAACCACAAAAGTGGCCTCCCTCAGCAGCGTTCCAGATTGGAGAAGCTGCCCCAAATGAAGCTTAAGTGTATGTAATTTAGCACCATAGAAAACAATAGATAGTAGCGTCCTACATCACTTGTTCATTGAAGGTTATCAGTGAAATACTGAATATAACAAGGAAAATCTAGTAGAAACTGAAAAAAAAAACAGGCAAGCAAGCTAAATCATATATGTTTCCCTTCAGATTTTATGTTAAAAAGAAGACAATAAGCATGAATCATTTCTGCAATATATACAGACAAATATAAATTCACAATATAAAGTTCAAGATACAGAGTAAAAAATGAGGAACCAATTAAAATAAAAGAAAAAGAATACATCTTCCAAAAAAGTAATTGTTTCAAAGATGTCATATTTGTGGGAAATTGAGAAATATAAATAAGTTTCAGAACCTTAAGGCAGAAGAATAATAAAAATAATTATAATGTCTATCCTTTCTCCACTTTTCCTTCTATATGTATCATAAATTAACTATCATGTGATTAATTTTGATGCATGACAATCTATAAAAACAAAATTGCATACCATCACGAGTCCAATTTATTCGGCATCTTGAGCAATGGAGTAGATCAAAGGCTTGGCTTGGATACAGTAAGCGTCGAGTTGCAAAAGCTGCCACCATCGCAGGCACACCACGTTCAAGAGCAAACTGAATTTGATTCTCATGTAAGTCTTTTGGAGCTATTGACATGGTAATGACATCTCGTGAAAGCAAGAAAGCACCAAAACTTGCTACCCCACACCCAACATCCAAGACAACTCTTGTACGATTCCCAAATGCAATGCCTGGAACCATCTATATATTCAAGAAAGAAGTTAGACATATATGGACAACTAAAAAGATGTTTCATTTTATATGTAGGTAATAGATGAGATATCCATCAAAACCATGAAACCTCAGATATCTGGTCTAAATAACTGTCTGCTCCATGTATAAATTGGGTGCCACCTCCAGGAAATTTGAATTTTTCCTTGTCCCTTTTTATCCAATTTTGCCCTCCTTTGTCCTCAACTAAGCGCGTGTGTGGCACATTACTAAACCACACCTGCAATAAAATTAGAATACCTGTGATCTTTCCATGACTTAAATAATAGAAAACTTGTACGTAATACACAAATAATGTTGATGCAGTGGAATAGTTTCCAGGCAGTTCAATAATATAATAGAATAGAAGCCACTGAAGAGAAATTAGCATAAGCAAACACTCCTAGTTCTCATTTAACCTTCAATAGAAGTTAATCAATGACAAAAGGGGGTAAAGAAGAACAATAAACACAACTAAGGTTTAAAATTGTGCAATTGACTATTGAAGCATTCTCTATTCGCGAGGCAATGCGTTTTGAGGCGTAAGCCTCAAAATCCAAAATTGCATAAAGTCATAATAAAGATTAAAAAATGATTTTTTAAATAATAACCAAACAATATATTAAATGATGACATAATAAATAAATTGACATATTATATATTTTTAAATAATAACCAAACAATATATTAAATGATGACATAATAAATAAATTGACATATATATATATATATATATATATATATGAAACACAAAAAAAGCACAAGACATAAAGTGGCAAGTAATAATTTGTGTGAAATAAAATCGAAATCCAAGCATCGCAGTAAATTGCATAATCATATAAAATGTAACTCAAAACTCCATCTTTCTCAATTCCCTACTCATCGATATATAATTAAAAAAAGATATAGTCATGGTATAGCAATAATTCAAAGTCATCAGTGTTGTCATCACTAAAGGGTCTTCATTTGAATTATCATCAGAATGAATTACTCTCTTCAGTGCCTCATCAACTGTGGAGTCCAATGCCTCTCAATCTACTTATTTTTCCTTTATTTTAGTTTTCTTCCTCTTCCCTAAATATTTTTTTATCAATATAAAGATGAGTAATGCTCCAAAGTAAATAAGCTTACACAAAATAATTTTTTTATATACCTTTTATGTTTTGTTCTTTTGAGGTTGAGTTGTAGTGGATGTTGATGTTCTGTTTTTATCATCATCAAAGAAATCAACGTTCAAATCTTTCTCTTGTCATTCAGATGGTGTTACTTCCACTTCATCATCTACAACTCACTCATCATTTGATATCATATCCTCACAAATCAAAAGGTCTTTGTCATTATTTAACCCTTTCTTCTTCAAGTTCATTTCTTTAAGTCTCTTATTGTACATGATGTACACTAAAGAATTCATCTTTAAGGTTGTTAGATGACTTCTCCTCTTCGTATGCACTTTATTGTATGTGCTCCAATTACATTAACATCTAGATGAATAGCGCATTAATCCCAAAATCTTCATAGCTAAGCATTGCAGCTCTAGAGAATCATCACCAAATTAAATCCACCACTCAACTGAGATTTACATAAATTAGGGGTGTCAAAATAGGTTCTCTAGTCGAATTCGTGTTCAACCTGAAATTGCCTACCTTCAATTGATCCAACCCGAACACGTCCCAATTAGAAAAATGGGTCAAAATTTTAGACACGGACCCAACGGATTACCAGGTTGACCCGAATCTACCCGCTGACCCACAAGTGTGATCAACAAACGAGTGTCAAGCGCGACAATGAAGATGGGATTGTGCATATGCGGGGGAGAGCGAGACCCACACGAGCCGGTAAGGGCATGGATCGAGCGGACAAGGGGAAGAGCCGCATGACTGTGCGAGCGCGGGTGCGAGCTTGAGAGGTTGCAAGCACAAGCACAGATTGTAGTCTGTAACTGCGAGTTGCAAGACACAAGCGTTAGACAGGAAGGCGTAACATAGTGCGAGACATGTTCAAATTCAAGTTGTTTTCAGGTTAGCAAGTTACCCCAGATATGACAAAAAAACTTAATTTGGTTAAGAAATAGGACCTCAACCCAACCTGTTTGTTAAACAAGTTAACCCAAACAGTTGAAATTTTTTTGGTCGGGTTTTGTATTGTGTAATTAATTGACACCCCTAACATAATTGAGTATAGTAAGTATAATGAATTTCAAATTAATGAGTATATAGTACATTAAAGCAACAAATGAAATTACCTAGAAATCTCTTGGAAATAATGTCCTTCATCTGTTGCAATCCAAAGAAACCCTCTTTATTCCTAAAATGTACCAATTGCGTGTAAATTTTTGTTTTAGTTGAATCAGCTATAAGCCTATCTATGCAATGGTATAATTCTAATTCTCAGGATTTGTTAACCTATTTTTTGTATATTGATATTGAGGGTTCAGATAATAGCCTGTAGCATAGAAGTGTCAATGAAGCTGTAGCTCTCACATTTTATCATTGATATTCCAAATTTCTCTATAGATGTATTCTTCTTCTCCTAGATTATGGGAAATCATTTCTTTTGTTTCACCCATAACACTATATATGAAGCACATAACAGACTTCTTCTCAGCATCCACCATCCTCAGAACCTGCACAAGTGGTCTAGTGGTTATGATGGCATAAATGACATCTGCTAAAATCTATTATTTAGAACGATCTTTCAAACCTTTTTCCTTGCAAATTTTCTTGCCCAAGCACAACTCAACAATTGTCTCAAGGTAATCATAAACTCCAAAGATTGTCTTGCCTCCAACATGCTTTGCAAATTCAAATAGGCAATACCAAATCTGATTACTACAGGCCTAAGTATTTCTTTCTTTGAAAATAAGTGTCAAAATTCAAAAATAATTATAAATAAATTTACTTATTTTTTAGCTTTGTCAGTGCATTCTTATGTTGCGGCAGCTCCTTAAGTTTCTTAAAGATGAGATATATGCAATGTGTGGCGCATGGAGTGCAATATATAAATATTTCCTCTTCTCTATAAGTTTTGCTCCTGCAACCCTATAAGCACTGGCATTATATGTTTCCACATGAACTACCAAATGCTCTCCACCCTCCTCAATAACACTATCAAGCAACCCAAAAAGAAACTTAGCATATTTCACCTAATTAGATGCATCAACGAACTTTAAGAACATAGTGTCATAAAGGTTATTGACTAGTATATTTATCAAATTACTACTCTTTACTTCTTATCATCCATCAAACATGATTATAACTATATGGGCCAAATTCCTCTTAATTTCCTCGATACTTATCTCAGTATTTGTCAACTCCTTCAAAATTCATGTCCTCAAGTCATATGTGGATGGAGGTTTCAATTCTATAGCATACGCTCCAATTGAATGGATCATGTTGTAGTAAGAATGGGAGGTTCAAACATTAAATGGAATGATATTCTCATTAAAAAAAAATAAATTATATTCATGCATACATGTATTTGTGCCTCCCTGGCATTCTCTGGGATCAGCTTCTATGTAGTAGAAGATTTATTTTCCTGTTTATTCTTTAATGTGCTCATCATATATTGATCCATGAAACCCCTTGCATCCCTAGAGGACATGGGTTACAATGAAGAAGATGAATCACAATCACTACGTTGACTCCCTTAGTAGGAGCCCATATTAAGTATGTCATCAAATTGTCTCTATGCTAGGTGTTTTGATATTATTGACTTATTCATGCATGTTTTAATCTCATCCCTTATAGTATCGAGCACTTTAGCACATGGTGTAACATTTAATGAGATTCATATATGTTCCCCTTTATCGTAGTGATGCCAACTTTCACCATTTTGTCATAGTAGCTACACTTCAAATATATGACGACTTGTCGTTGCCTCCCCCGTCAACTTGAATGTTATGTTTCCATGCCGAATCCTTCCTATGATCTGCGTGGTTTTATCATTGATTCTGACCATCCTCTATAAAACTCTACAATAACAAGTTAAGAAAAAAAAAATTTGAAACTCACAAAAAATTATGCATGCATGCTTTGGCATTATCACAAGAGCAATGAATTTGATCCCAACATGTAAGGTTATTCTTAGCAAAACATCTTTCTATTTAAAATCCATGAAAGCATAAATTACTCAAACACATAAATATTGGATTTCAATATTATTATTCTCCCATTATTCTTAAACACATAAATATTAGACCTCTCAAGGTAGTCAAAACTAAGTCATAAAACTAAGGCACATAAAGAAAATTTAGTACTCGATGATTAAAGTGTTTAGATTCATTTGCATAAGTTTTTATTTTATAAAACTAACTAAAAATTTAATCTAAGCTTTGCACCATAATATTTTATAAATCTTTGTTGTCATCATGCATGCCTTTGATAATTTTACCTGTTGAATTTTCCCATATAAAAATTGCTTATAACATTCAGAAGGAAACTAAAACAATTGATGAACTGACTATTTAAGGACTTAATTAAAATTTTGATAATATTTTTTTTTTAATATAAAGACTTAATTTTAAACAAGATGTAAAAATATTCGATCACAATTGCATAACAATCATGTAATATCATGTTTTAAGTATTCACGTTACCATTAGTTTTTAGAAACAAATTTACAAAGTTGATTAAAATGAGGTATTTTAAGTATATTGTTTAATTATTACCTCACGTGAAGCAATCTAAGTTGAAAAGTAACAATGGACGAGTTGAAGGAGGTGAAAAAGCTAGCTACTCAATTAAACAGGCAAAGTCAAAGAGGATCAAAGGTGAACATCAACACAAGAGAAAGGGGAGAAAGATGGCTACTGTCTTAGTGAGCAAAGCTCTTGTCATTACTTCCAATCCAACAGGAAGAATGTCGTCGAACTATCTTGACTTCCGATCTGATCCGACGGGAAGGGAACGTCATTAAAGAAGGCAAAGAAGCTTTTAGCAATTCGTTCAAAACTCTACCTAACATGAAGCAAGCAAAGTCGAATAACAGTGCCAATGATGGAACGCCGAAGGTTCCCTAGGGTACGAGCGGTTGCCGTTATAAAAACTTTGGTTTTAGCTTAAGTTTAAGGTTTAAAAAAAAAAATATGCTATTTGAGGTGTACACCTCACAAAAATGAGGCAAGGTGTGACTCGGCTAATTTGAGGCATACATCTCACAAAATAATCTCGAGGTGTGCACATCTAGGTATTTTTGGGTAAAATTGTGCTGAGACGCACCTCAAGGCGCTTATTGTGCAATTTTAAATAGTGAACACAACTTACTAGGCATGATATATCTTCAATTAACACAACATAAAGTCTCAAAATAATTTACAATTTGATATTATACATGTCTTTTCTTGTCAAAATGGATGGATCACATGACAAAAGATTGTTGCAAAATGCATTCTAACGATAAGTAAACTACTTATGGTTGACCGTATATAAACTGATCAATTTATAATGAATGCTCGTTATTTGTAACTGGATGGTGATCATCTAGTTTATTAGTCTATTACTAGTTAACTATTAGTGATGTTAGGTATGTAAATACCATGTAAATAAATCTGAACTTCCAAAAACAGCAAGAGCCTTCAGCAAATTATATGGTCTTATTTTTTGGGACCTTCTTCTCAATTCATTACAAGTAAAAGGAATATCTGGTTCGGTCATCCTTGAAGGCGTCGGGTCCAACCCTCTTAAAAACATCCCTTGACATGTTTATTTACATGGCATGGGAGTTCTTCCTCTTTCCTCCACACATGAACTTCAATCTATAACAAAAACTAACCTCCTCTGAATCCCTGGCTTAGGAATTTATTTAGAAGTAGGAAAATATAAGCTACTAAATTTGACTTCAAAATAAGCAAACTACTATAGTCCTGAATCCTGACTGGCCTCTCAATAGCAGACGAAAGTAACAAAAAATCTGATAGAATTTCATACCGAGGAAATGAAAATTTATTGAGATGAACTGACAAAATTTTGTACAAAAACATAAATACATAATGTGAGTGCATTCAGACTTTCAAGAACTGGACAGTAATTAATTGGGATTGAAACAAAACATTAAACCTAGGTTTATTTTTCTCCTCTGTAGCCCCCAATTAGGATTCATCCAGACTATGAGGAATTTACAGTTTTCAGAACCCTCAAACAGCAGCAGATCATTCATGAAAAAAAGCATTCCAATTTCAATCTTTGCTCCAGGTTCTACCAATGAAAACACCAAAAACAAAAGGGGGCCCCAAAATATCAGAAAAAAAAAGTACCTCGTCTCTGCTTATGGGCCAAGGGATCGGCTCCCTGTAGCCCTTCGGTGCCGGAATTAGGCAGTTCAAACTCTGCTCCTTCGCTGGGCAGTGCCGCTCAAATCTCTCCCCTCTCTCCGTAGAATTCAGTTTCTTGATCTCCTCCTCGTTATCAAGACAAGGAATGTACTCCCTCATTCTCTCCGGGCAAAGCCCAAACTTCTGGATTCTAACCCTAGTCTCATCCTTCTTCTCTATCTCATTATTCGTCTCGTTACCCGCCCAAGATGGCGGTTCCTCCTCCTCCACCAGATCGGAATCGAATGATCCGGCATCAAAGTCTTCCCGCATTGCCCCGTTCTCGTCCACGATCCCAACGTTCTTCGGAACCACCGGCGGCGCGGGAGCTCTGGAAAGCGCATCAAGCACCGGATCAGCTGCATTGAGAGAGGACTCGTTGGATACTGGGGTGGTAATATCACTGGTGCGTTTGAGGTTGGGAGAGAGGGTAACAGATAGGTTCGCATTGCCGTAGCCGGCGGTAGGATTGACGTTACTGTAAAAGATGAGTTGGGGATACATAGAGCCATCGTTCCAGTTACGGCCGAGGTAGAAGGAGGCGATGCACGCTAGGAACAAGAAGGAGATCTTGGTGAGGGAGGAGAGCTTGAAGGGATCGCCAAGCTCGCCTTTCATTGTTTGGAAGTGCCCACTGCTCAAAACGAACTTAATAGAGGCCTTCGCGCGCGAGACCTGAAGGTCGGTGGCCAGCCTGTTTTATAAAGGAAATAGCCGAGCCGGGTTTTCGGGACTGTATTCTCTAAGTTTTCACTTTCATGCCACTTACGTCAACATAGCTTTTAATTAATTTTCCATTATAAGGCTAAAGTAGGGTTCTTTATAAAAAAAACTTTTTGAGAGCCTAACTTAAAAAAATTACTTTGAGGGCTAATAAGAAAGACAATTATAAATTATTACTATAATCATATGATGTGAGGCCTCTGTTGACAAAAAAATTCTTAAAAAAAAAAAAGTTAGGGTAGGAATCAAGAGAAAAAAATGAAAAGTTAGGGTAGGAATTAAGGAAAATATTATTGATCTGCACCCATCAAAAATTATTATAAAGGCCTCCATCTAAGATGAGAAAAAAATATTTGCAAAACCTCATAGTTGATATATATTACTATGATATCATAATGGTTAAGTGCATAAGAATTATGTATAATATAAGAATGTCAATTTTTGAAAAAATAAAAAAATTTAGGCATCTAAGTTAAAGATTAAAGCCAACACTATTCAACAAAATTATTGATAGGTTAACTTATCTTTTTATCTTCATAAATAAATATTCTTAGAATTCTATATTGCTATTGTGGAAAATATAAGAACATTACATCTTTATTTAATTGATTTTGATGCTAGTATAAATATGACCAAATAAAGCTAAGAAACTAAATAAATAAATAAAATTAAAATAAGAAAAAATATCCTCAATAGTGATGACATATTATAATAATAAATGCTAAAAAAATTTAATAAATATTAAGCATATTTGATAATACTAATATGATGATATAATAATTCTATTAACTATAATATCCTCCATAAACTCATAATGTGGTTACAATAAGCATTGAGATTTGTTAGCCGACATTTAAAAATGCATTAATATATATGATTTAAAGAGCAAAAGCAGCTAATAAGTTGTTGGCGGGTTGGTGGAGAAGTGAGATGTATAGAGGCATTTGTTGTAGCTTGAGGAGGCTTAGAGTTTAAAAGTGAGTTGTGCTAGAAAGAGATAATTGGAGGAGTGATAGTTGATTTGTGAAATTTGTGGATGGCTTAGTAGGAGATGATAGAACTAGATGGGTTAGAAAGGTAGTAGTTGTAGCATTAAAGAGAATGAGAAAATTGGGATAAAAAACCAGACTAGTGAGAGAGAGAGAGAGAGAGAGAGAGAGAGAGAGAGAAGGACAGATGTATGGGAGAAACTTAATGAGAGGAGCAAAGCATACGAGGACATGAGGCATCAAATTGATGTAGGAGGATATAGGAGATTATCATAAATGGAGTTTGGGCTTGATAACTTTGATGGGTAACCTAGCTAGTCATATATGAAGAAGGCTTGACAAGGTGGAGATGGTTAGGTGAAGAGAAATGATGAGCTATGGAGGCAAGGAAGATTGGTTAAAGGAGTTGCTAATATTTAAATGCATCACTAGTACAACCCATCCAATTGTGCTGAGGGTGGGCAATTGTCACCCCCAAAATTAATATTAAGTTATTTGAAAATGCATTTTAGTGATTTTGGTCCCTCCTCAAAAAATTTTTTTTGCCCTAAGTCCTAAAAAACTCAATGCTTGTTCATTCCCAAGTCCTATCTGCGCCACTGACTAACTCTTGCAGCTCATAAGTTGCAAGCCCCGCTTTCACTCTCTTTTTCCCCCTCCCTCCTCTACGATTCAAAAATTCTCAATGTAAATCAAGCATGCCGACAAGCGGTACTCTATCCTCCCGTCCTTGTCCCTTCTATTATTTTTCACGTTGACAGTTGACTCATGTAGGCATTTTAGAGAGCAACAAAAGTGCAAAACTTGTAATCTTTCTTCTTGTTTGATGGTATTTTTTTATTCAACATATAGTTGATTAGTCATTTTTTGATTTGTTGCCAATGATTTTGCTCTTACATTTAAATCAACGCTATTTTCTAAGAAATGAAATGTATTTAATTTCATTCCCAATTAAATCATAATGCAACATATCAGTAAATATAAAACAGAATACAAAGCTTATAATTATTTTTCAATTCGTTAATTATAATGAAATACAAGACTTTGATTTGAAGTGTCATATAAGATTTTCTTATTTTTTAATAATTAATTATTTGTATAATAAATTTGTTAATCCTGAAAAATAAAGTCGGTTCCACCCCTGAAAGGTGTGATCTGAGAAAGAGAGGATGTGTTTGAAAGTTGGACAAGACACTATAGTTAGGGTCGTACGGAGCATACACGTGCAAAAACATGATGTACGTATAATGACTTAAGAGTGGATTGTGTAGTGAAAGTTGTGACAACAATGAGGCATAAACATCATGCAAGGTAGCTATATATATGATTGACTCAATGAGAAGGAGATTGAATTTTTAGAAATATATAGTTGTGCTTATGATGTCGTCAAAATGTGTGATGAGGCTTTAGAGCTTCGCATGGCGAGAGGGGTAGTCCAGTAATGGGTTTAAATTTGTTTCCAAGTGGGTGCTCACAAGAGAGAAGAGAACATAGATGAGGTTGATATTTAACATGGAATAATTATTGCTCTAGTAGCATGTTGAAAACATAAAAGAGAAAGAGATACATCTTTACTTGATAGATCCTTATGTTATTACAAAAATGTCTATACGAAGACAAGAAAAGATTGAGAGCAACAACAAAATTATAATAAATAAAAAACATCAATAATGACATTAAATAATAATAATAAAACTATATATTTATAATAAATATTAATTAGCATATATAATAATAATAACATGGTAATATATTAACCAATAACTATCATGGACAGTATTAGAAGGCACTTTATATCATTTCAGGCATTATTATTAGATAATTGAACAAATAAATAATTTTGATATTTAAGAAATCCTATAAGTATATTATTTGTTATGACTTTTGTTTATTAATTTTAGTATGCTAAAATGATACTTCTTTAATAACCATCGTGAATATAGAGGGTTCTTGAAACAACAAACTAGAACTTCTTAAATCTAAAGCTTTCTTGAATAGAATTAAAAAAAAAAAAATTCTATGAGTGTTGCAAAATGAAAATTTCCAAAATAACTTATTGTGAGACTACAAAAGATACCAATCATGTAACCTTCCATACAAAAATATCAAATTTTATTTGGTTCAATTAGTCAACATATATGGAAAAAAGTAGGCACAAATAATTTCATTATTAAATGAGTATAATGATACAAATTGAAAGGAATAACAAAGTATTATGAAATCAAATTTTCAACATCTAAAAAGGACGCATGGAGAAGATTTCTTCAAAAACTTAGTGCAAAATTATTATAAAAAAAGCAAAATAAAGAAGAGATGAATTTATCTCATTAAGGTTTCGTTTGGGACAACTTTTTTTATTGCTTCTTAAAATAGGACCTCAACAATTGTACAAACAAATCAAGTACAAGCATTGCTTGAAATTAAAATTGGAATCGTGATAGTAAGCATGTCAACAAGATTTTGTTATTTGTAAATATTTTGAGTTAAAATGTCATTTATCTTTGATCTGTTATTTGACTAAGTGATATCCAACATCAATATATATGTTTGGTTCTGTCATAATATATTTAATCTCCAACTATAAGTGAATATCATTATAAATATTGTAGAAAACCATTAAACTATCATAATGCAAACCCAAATTATTAACTAAGACTTCGGTTGGGACAATTTTTCTTACTGCTTTCTAAAGTAGTTTTTTAGAACAAAAATTTTTTAACTATAAATTTTTGTATTGAAAATTTGTTAAAAAAAAAAAAAAAACTGTCACAAATGAAGCCTAAGTTTACTAATGAAGTAACTTTAAAAAGTCATTTATTCGTAGACAAATAAACTATAAGCTAATAGCAAGCTTTCCAATTGATGAAAATAGATTCAAATAGACATAATTTGATTTATTACATCCATACATCAACCTATAAGAAAATGTACATCTAAGCAAGGGCAGAATCCCCTTTAGGTTGGGGGATTCCGCCCTATAAGCTATAAGCTAAGAGTATTTTTTGTCTTTATTACAAGAGTTTTTAGGCAATTGCCCCCCCCCCCCGGCAATTCCCCCCCCCCCCCACAAAAAAAAAAACAATGATCTTTAGGCAATTGTCCCAAACAAATAGTAAATATAATTCATCATTTTATTTATTAACTCCGTCAAGTGGCGCTGCCCCCTTGACCCCCAATATATATGCGAAGCATACGATAATCAAGGATATGAACAAATAGAGGTCGTTATTCACCCATTTTCTTGTAGCGAAGGGTTGAGCCAAATTCGAGGCAACACCAATAGTTACTTATAAGTTTTCCCTCATAAAAATTAATTTTGATTCCGCCCCTTCATCTAATATATTAAAAAATCATTTCACTACTTCCATATAAGTCCTATCAAGCCTATCTATAATTCTACTTCCAACACTAGCTAAATGTGAAATATTTAAACTTGTACATATTGCAACAAACATGATCCATTCAACAGTGTTTGTATAAAGCACTATATTTTTATAGTTGTCCACTTATAGTGATTGAAGAAAAGAAGCGGCTAACAAATAAAAAAGACTAGCAACTGGAGGAGTGACATGCTTTGTAGTTTGTAAGCTAAATCTTCTTAATACTACCTCAAAATATATATTTTGTGTTAGAAATACAATGTTTGTTTTTCTATTTCTGGCCATCTCTATCATTAAAAGTTTCTTATCAATATTAAGATCTTTAATCTCAAATGATGCACTTAAAACAAATGTTCATCCCTAGATTTGTAAAATTCCTTTGGTACAATGAACTCTCAAATCTATAGTTGATTATGAAACTATCAAACTTCTTTTAATACTATTTAGTAGCCGACACACCCCGGCCAAACATAGTATGTACATTTTTCTATTTTAGTAAATCAAATCGAGTTGAAGTGCAATAAATAAGACAAATAGAAATGTTATTTGCTAATAGCACATTCATAACATCTTTATGATAGAAAAATCATTTAAAATA